ACGGCGAAGCCGCCGCCCGCCCCGGCAGGTCCCGCTGAGTCGCAGGAAGCTCCGGGACAGGCAGTGGGAGCCTGGCGACCCCCGGTGGTGGCTGGGGGAGATGGCAGCTCCGGCCCGTCCCCGGCCACAGGCAGCGGCGGGGCAAGGCGGAGGCCGAGCGGGCGTGCACAGCCTCCCCGAGCTCTGCCCGCGGCTGCGGTGGGGCCCTGATGTCGGGGCGAGCGGAGCGAGCCACTGAGCCGTACGTGGTCCTGAGTGGAGTGAGACCCCCGGGCAGTGCGAGGCCCCAAGTGGTGCGAAGCCCCGGGCAGCATGGGGCCCTGACTGCATGGTCCTGCCTTGCAGCTGATGCAGCAGCAGACGACGGTTCTCTCCACCTCCCATGGCAGCTACCTGAGCCCAGGCGTCGCCTTTTCCCCTTGCCACATCCAACAGATCGGTGCCGTCAGTCTCAACGGGCTGCCAGCCACTCCTATTGCACCAACATCAGGTGAGGGCTTGGTGTGGGCCGGGATGCAGCAAGTCCTTCACTACCAGTGAACCTCCTGCCCCAGCACTCAGCACGGTGCTCATACAGGTAAAACAGTTCCCACATCCCTCTGGGCTCAGCATCTGGATTAGGCCACCCTTTTCTAACAAGGCAGCCTCTGAGGACAGCAGTCCCTAGTTCTGCGCAAATTTCTGCAACCTCCCTGATACCCTGACATGTTCAACGCACATTCTCTTGCCCTACTGCTGTTCCTCTCTGCTGCAGTTTTTTCCCTTTGATATAGTAAAGAAGGACCAGGTTCCCAGGATTGCACCTGACTCTGAGTAGAGCAGTGCTAGTATTCATTATCATCATCCCACAGTAATATTACCAGCAATAATGCATATTGGGTTTGAACACCTGTCAAGAACAGGGCTGTATCATACTAGGTGCTGTACAAACCTGGATTAAAAATGTTCCATCCCAAAGCTCTGACGGCAGCCAGGACTAGCAACACTGCGCACACTCTTCTCACTAGTGCTGCCTCTAATTTTGTGAAGGCTCCAGCACTAGTCTGCCACCTCCACGTGCCAACTAGAAGAGGTAATAGCATCATATACAGCAGTCTTGCCAGGCAGATGGAAGGAGGGAGTGCAGGCTTTGCGGGACCTTGACTCTCATGGGATGTCCTCTCTTCTTGCTGTACAGGGCTACATTCACCGCCTCTCCTGGGAACAGCAGCCATGCCAGGACTGGTGACACCCATTTCAAATGGATTCACTGGAGTGGTACCATTCCCAAATGGTCATCCAACCTTGGAAACAGTTTACACCAATGGCCTTGTGCCATACTCAGGTACGGAGAGCAGGAAAAAAAAAAACACATAGACCTCAGGAACTGCAATTAGCTCCTCTTTTCTGGATTCCCCACACAGAACACTTTTTCTAGCTCCCTACCAGCCAGGCACTGAGGCTCACTTGGCAGGGGCGTTGGTGGGGGTGGGGAAGAGAGACAGAGAGAATGCATGAGTGATTCCCTTTGCTGTGCTTCTGATTATGTTCTCTGCAGCCCAGAGCCCTTCAGTAGCAGAGACTTTGCACCCAGCCTTCACAGGAGTTCAGCAGTATGCAGGTACCAGCTTCCCTTGTCTCCCTCAGGCCCTTGTGTGGCTGACCAGATCCTCAGGTAAACAGTTTGTTCTGTCTCCTTGGAATACAGCTGTGTATCCAACCACCACCATCACCCCCATTGCTCAGGGCATCCCTCAGCCACCTCCCATCCTGCAGCAGCAGCAACGAGAAGGTGAGGATCAGGGTGGGAATGTGTGTGTCCGGCGGAGCGGGGGGGAGATCTGTGTAGCTTGTCTTCTGCACCACAGAACCAGGAGGTGCAGAAGAGTGTGGAGAGGAGACAGCACTAATCTTTGTCCATTCTAATCTTTAATATTGAAGCTGGGTTACGGAACCAACCATGTCTCTGCAGTGAGTGGACTGGAAGGGTTCAGAGGATGCTTGTCATGCAAACTTTGTGAGCTCATCCTTGGCCAGATGCTGCCAAGTACAAAGGGGACAGCAAGCACTAGAGCACCAAGCTTTGACACCAAAGGGTGTAGAGTCAGCACCTTTCCTACGCAGGCAGGGGAAAAGAGCACTTCCTTCCCATCTTTACTGATGCCAGAACCACACTGGTACCAGTTAAACCAGCCTCTCCAATGTACTGTCCTCTGTCTTCAGCTTTCCTATCCTCATGAGTTTGTTTTTCAGCTTATTTCAAAACTGGCCTGGACAGAATTTGGAGGCAAAGGCATTCTCTGCTCCTGCTTCATACAGCAGGTGTCGGTGAGGGAACAGCTCCTTGTGCTCATCAGGCTCACAGGGAGCAAGTGAAGGAGTGGGCAGGACCAGGTCAGCCCATTAAATCACATGTGTGGCAATCCAGGAGATTTCCAGCTGGGGCTGTGGCTTACGGGCTGAAGGCAACCACTGCATAGCTGTGGGCAGAGAACGCTAGAGCAGCAGCTTTCACATAGCAGTGTCTGCTGCTCTCCTAGGACTGGGAGAGCTATGAACAAGGAGCTGTCACCTCAGCTAATTTCCTTCCAGCAAAACAACACTCAGACACTCACAGAGTTGTTGTGTCCAGCACCCCACGTGGGAACTGGGCAAGCTGTGAAAGTCATTCTGCTCTCCAGAAACTCTAGCTCTGCATATTGCCTCCCAGCTGCTTTTAGAGAGCCCTCAGAACTCTTCATGGACCAGTGACTGAGATAAGCAAGGGGATGTCGAGACAGAAGGAGGCAGTGCTGGGGTTCTCCTCCAGTGCTGTGCTCTGAGTTGAGCCCGTTTCTCTTCCCCTTCCCTTTGGGGGCTCTCTGTTTTGTCCCTCCCCATTGTCCCCATGCCTGCAGGTCCTGAAGGCTGCAATCTCTTCATCTACCATCTCCCTCAGGAGTTTGGAGACAATGAGTTGATGCAGATGTTCCTGCCCTTTGGCAATATCATTTCCTCCAAGGTATTCATGGATCGTGCCACCAACCAGAGCAAGTGTTTTGGTGAGTGCTGATGCCAGCGGGCAAGGGAAGCATGATGGATAACAAGGACACTCATGCATTGGGCATGGCACCAACAGTGCCATTATTATCCATGCCTGTGTCCTGTCCTTCAGGTTTTGTAAGCTTTGACAACCCATCCAGTGCACAGACTGCTATCCAGGCCATGAATGGCTTCCAGATTGGCATGAAACGTTTGAAGGTCCAATTAAAACGACCCAAGGATGCTAACCATCCCTACTGACAGCAGTGAGCAAGCAGGAGTCACTTCTGCAGCACAGGTAAAGCTGGCACCATTACAGCACAGTTCCTACACAGTGCTGGCCAGTGTCAGGGGGCAGCAAGGTCTGGCTGCTCCCCGCGGGGTGGGAAGCCAGGAGCTGAATGCAGTAACACAGCTAGCAGGGCAGAGGCCTCACCTGCCAGGGCCCAGCCCCAGCACCTGAGCAAGGTGACCAAGCAGGCCTGGAGATGATGGCCAGGTTCAACCAAGAGTCTAGATCATCAAGAAAGTTTGTGGCAATGAGGCAGGCCCAAGGCCAAGCCAGAGAGCCAATCTGCAGGTCAAGACCAGGATCAGGTCTGGTGAAGACAGTGTCAGACATAGTCCAGTGATTGCCAGGCAGGTCTATAATGAGAATAATAAACAGATCTGACATCAAGACGGGAAGACAATCCAAGGGTTGGAGTCCAAATAATAAGATCCAGGACAGGTCCATGGACAGGTGGAGACTGGCACTTCCGTGATGTAGACCAGACAAGGACTGAAGGCACAGGCCTGAGCTGTAATGAGACTCCTGGGCCCATGGGCAGAGTGTCGACAGAAGCCACAGGTGAGGCTGGTCAAGGCCATTAAGGCCCCTTAGTGCACTCAGGGCCCTGACAGGCAGATGGGTTGAAATTACCTGCCTGTGGCCTAAGCAAGGTTTCAGTCTACTTTCTGACCGCTCCCAAAAAGCATTCATCTTCCTAAAAAGGTTTTAAAACCCAATAGTTTTGTTTTCAATTATTACATGTGCCCTGAAATTAGTCTGCAGAGAGTGCTTTCCAGGGTAAGAAGGGACAATCCCATGAGTCACAAGGATCACAGAAAAGCAGAGAAAAGGTGAGACCCTGAAGGGCCACAGAAGAGCTGCCTGACATGAGAGCTGGCTGTCAAAGAGCTAGCTCCTACCAGCCAACAGACTGGGAGCAAGGGAGGGCTGATCTTGGTCTCTTCTAACTGGGGTCTTCATCCTCCACATTTAAGCAACAGCAACTCAAAGCCTGAGGTTTGCATAGATGTCGTCCTAATCTCCCAATTCCCTCCCTCCTCCCTTTCTATTCAGGTGAAGGGAAAGTCCAGAGGAAGAATTTCTGCTTCAGGTTGATTTACAGAGAGGCCAGTAAATTTATCTACTCTTTTGGCACCACCCTTTTCCTTCCTCTGCTGCCCACCGACCCACCCCATCCTCCTTCTGCCCTCCTCCCCAAAACATGCAATTAAAGAGAAGGCTCAATATCTGCCCAGCAGGAAGATTCTTGCCACGACGGACTCTCATATTTGCTGCTAAAGTGGTGCATAGCAAAGGGACCAGAAAACCAGCAGCCCCTGGGGACTCGAAGCTCTTCCTCTTGGGGTATGCCTGGAGTACATGGACCAAGAAAACCCACTGGTTTGTCTCTAGGTTACTGCAGTGATGTATGGCAACTTAGCTCCATCCCTCCCTCCCTCCTGCCCCTTCTCCTGGCCCTTTCATAGATAAACATAAATATATATATATATATATACACACAGTCTCTATTTTTTTTTAAAGTGGCTCACAGGACCAAACTTTTCCATTCAGAGACTGACTCCTTGCAAGAAGGATTGGAAGTTAAGGGTTTACCTTTGCAACAGTGTCTTCTCAGCAAGCACGGCAGGTAGGCCTGAACATTCTGAGAGGATGCTTGGATGGACAGAGCGCAAGAGAGAGAGAGAGAGAGAGAGGGAAAGCACGCATCTCTCTGCCCAACATTAGCAAGAAGCAAGGAGAAAGAGAACTACATACCTCCAGGATTAGGGCACAGCCAGCTGCTCAGCTCAAGGCACTCATCCACTGACCTTAGCACCAGCCTGGTTAAGGATCTCAACAGCTCTCAGTCTTACCTTTCCAAGGGCTTCTGCAGACAAAGCTCCTGGAACTTGGTGCCAAAGCCTATCCTGAGCACTCCTCGATTAGGCTGAAAGCACAGGAAACCAGTCTGTTTACCTACAGGAACTGTACTGCCTCCCTACACGTGGCACAGATCTGTGTTTCGTAGCTCTCCATGGTAACGGAGCATTTTCTTGATCAAGGCAAGAGAAGATGAGAGTGTGAGCTGATGCAATCTCCAAAACAGAGTGACAGAAGCCTCCCAGGGGCTACACACTGCCTCCCCATGTCAGAAGTAACCTAACGCTGGTTAGCGGGCAGTTCCGATTCCCAGATGAAACAGGACGTTTTCTCCATCTGAATTTAGCAAGAGGACTCACCTCTTACACCCTCTGCAAAGCTCTCCCAAGCAGACACAAGAATAGTATGATGAAAGAGGGTTGCCATTCTGGTTTTTTTCCCCACCACCCCCTCCAAGGGACATATTACACATTATGCAGCATATATAGATACAGCTATATACACATACACTTAAGCACAGAACATAGTTCAGAGCTTGATTTAACAAAGATCCCCTGGGGGTGGGGGTGTCATACTGACAAGGCATATCCCTTTAACAACTTCAAACAGTCTCTTTAAGTTTCTACCAAAATAAGGAAAGAAAAACAAATCAAACCAACCAACCCCACAAACCTTCTGAATGATTAGTTTCAATATTCCAGAGTTTGATAAGGTAGCAAGAATATTTCCCCTCTGTGTGCGTGTGTGTCTGCGTTCAGACATGAACAGAGGGTTGGTGGAGCAAGGTTGATGGAATTGATACTGAAGCTAGAGATGTGGGGACTTCCGCAAACCTCAGCCAATTCTCATCCTCCTCCAGTTTCCCTTTGGTCAGATGTTTGTGGCACAGTTCTTTAAGTACCTTCACATCTCCTCAACCACCCCTCTGTGTCTGATGCTGAGAGTTTGAGATGGATGAAACTGTGCGAGTCTGTGTGTTTCTATAGTCCATGTTTACTTATTGTAAATACCATTTTTATACTTAACATCTATTATGTACGTGATTTGTATAATGTACTTTATTTCTGCTACAAGTAATTTCATGAAGTTTAAACTTAATCTAATTTTGAACAAAAAAAAAAAAAGACCAATAAACGCAAAATGGGAAAAAAAAGGACTTTGGAAATTCTAGGTCAAGCTGGTTTAAAACAAGCATTTACAGTTTCTTCCATCACAGTTACTGATGTGACTGTACAATGTTATAGGTGCAATACAGGCTTCGTCAATGTCAAATTCCTCACTCTGGTCAAAAAAAATCTTAAATTTATTTAATAAAAGTTTTACTTGCTAAATAACTGGGGTTTTACTTCGTGTGTTAGTTGCACCTGCTTTTAGATAATGCTTACACTTGAAGACATTAATCACCAAAGGTCTGGGGTGAGGAAAGTCTGTTTCCATTCAGCAAATCATCTGTGCAGTCAGTTAAAAAGCATTTCACAAGGAGATGGATGACAAAGCCCGAGTCCTACAGAATACAACCCTGCCTTACTCTGAACACCACACAGTGTCCCTGTGTCTCCAAGAAGGCTGTCTGTGGATTTTTATTCCAGTCTTCAGCATATGATCCCCAAAATGCAAGTTTGTTATATTAGCCCAACTGCAATGAATGAGTTCAGCAGCCAAGCTCCAGCAGAGCTAAACACAAACCAGTCACAGCTCTTGTGTGCAGATACCAGACATCTTTTAAGAATTCCTATGTACTCTGCTCACACCTGAGAGAACAAAACTGGTTCTCCCAACAGCACCTTGAAGGAAATCAATCAATCAATCAAGAGCCAGAGCCCAGCCCATCTGGTGCTATGCACAGAACCAGGAAAAGGGAAAGCAAATGCAGAGACTCCTCATCTCTGCCCTGAAGGTGACAAACACACTTCGGGTTGGTAGAGAACCAACTCAATTTGCCATGCCCATGGTTCAGCCCCTGCCCATCCCTTCTATAAAAGCACCAGTTTCCCTGGGACTGTCCTCTGCTTTGAAACCCCTGTTTAATGGCACAGAAGAAAAGCAGAATATGAGCAGAGAATGAAATCTAGGACTACCTCAATTTTTGAGGCCTCCTTGCCCCTGCACCAACACAATTCTGCAGTGACTGAGCCAAGGTGTATACTGCAAACTGTCATGAGAAGCAAGCAGGTGTGTGTTTCAGAAGAGGCGAGTTCAAACTCCAGAGTTTGTGAATTGTGGTGAGTTCTTACTTCCACACAGCTCCGTAGAAAGCTTGGTCATGTCAAAATCCAGTGAATGGCAAGGAGAGAGGAAGGAAAACACTCAGCTGGTGCCTGTTCTATGATGTGAATAAAATGTACTTGTGACTAAAAGTGCCGCACACCATTCCCAGTAGCAAGAATAAGAACTCAAGCTGCAGTGACATTTCTTGCAGACACACAAGTTTTTATATTTAGCTAGTTTTTATATTTAGCTCAGAACAAGAGTGCACTTAGTCTAGCACCTAGCTGTCAACAGATCAAAGGAGGGGGGGGCATGCAGCGACCCTTTCCTAGGAAGCCACCTCTCACGGGCTAGAATGTACCCCTCAACCTGCTTTTTTTCTCTCCTTGGAGAAGACCAGCTATGATTGAAGAAAGATTGCGATTGGCAAGGCTCTGCACACTCCATTTTATTTCTATATCCCCTAGACAAGTCTGTTTTTTAAGCAATACCTGGCTGTTCCAATAAATTCCAAACCTGTTAACCAGTTTCTACAAAATGTTCAGCTTTCAAAGCTACTTAAAATTTCTTCAGGATTCATGCATTGCGGATGGGAACACCACAAAAAAATAACGATCCTCTCAGACACCAAGGAGCCCACATAGGATCCTTTATCCATTCCCAGCCAGGAGAATTCAAGCAGAGACTGCTTTTTCTTAGCTGCTAGAACTTACAAGGCATGACACATATTCGTAGGAATAACGTGTTAGGGAAGAATTCCCTCTGCATTCTTTCTCCTGTTCAGTGCAGGAATCATCAACCCAACTTGGCATTTACAGCAAGGAAGAGCCGATTTAACAGGTCCCATGCAGTCAGCAAACATCTAGCAACAGGCCTGTGCTCACCAGCCTTCCTTCACAGA